AAAGCGACGTAGATGGGAACAAATTGCCGCGGCGTTTTTCGCGGCCTCGGAGATGCAGGAGCGAGCCGACGCTAAAAAAGATACGTTTGAACTACGAGTGTCAGCAGGAGCCACGTAAATACCTGTTCACACTCGGAGCGGACGCGCGCGTTTGGTGGAAGTGCTGTATTCGCGCTGTTGGTAAGCGCTTCGGGACCGATCTTTTACGATTGCAACTCGATACTGACGCGACACTCGGCAAAGAAAGGTTGGACCGGCATTGCACGTATACCTCCCACGAACTCTTATAGCTCGACAGTGACGTGCAGTTTGTCAGAATAAAAATGGCATACCAATAACAAAGTGTACATACCGTGTTACGAAGGTAATCCATACGGCGTTTATTTCAGCTCTATATCACACAAAATAAGAAGATAGAATCGACGACAGTCCCTTTTCGACGAGTGTTCGTCAACACTGCCTCGGAAAACAAGGGGAAGAGATTGACCTCACCTCTTAATCTAAAATTGAGGTCAGCGATCAAACTATAATGCGGGAAGGGTCCACAAGGGTAGCGCGGGCATATTCCATTCAGCACGCCAGCCGGTCGTAGGCAGACGGTCTTGCGACGAAGCAACGCTGCGCCGAGTCGGAGTGTCTGCTAGGCCTATATTCTGAGCAGCTCGCTCCGTCAGAGTCGGTGGATTCGTGGCCAGCGTTCTTGTTCGTCGTGGTCTGTTTTAAGTACTTTTTTTCTTGCTGCTTGAAGTCGGCACGCGCGAGAACACGTAAAAAAATAAACGTTCAGTCAGTCAGAGTTTTAAGAGGAAGGGAATCAAAGGAAATAAACGTTCGTCGGCCGCCGCGAACCAAGTAACTGAACTCGGCCCTGCCCTACTGCGCACGCGCAGTAGTTGCTTCGTTTACCACACGATAGATGGCGCTTGGCTCTCAGCATTATCAAATTTGGCAATTTTCGCCACACATCTCTAATTATGCTACAAAATGTGGATCTGAATATTATTTAACAAAACTTTTAGGAAACATTCGCCGGCTATTTATTGTTTACGATCGCGGTGCTGGTGAGGTAGGCTCTTACCCAATAGGCGACGTGAATTCGGCTGACGTGCTCCGTTTCCGCGGATGCATCGTAGTGAAAAGGCGAAGGAAAGAAGGCGCAAAAGAGTCCATCTTCTTTTAAAAGTTTTATAGCAAATAATTTTTTTTGGCTCTCTATTGTTGTGTTTTTGTGTTTCTTTTCACACCTTTTACGACGTGCGGTGGATGAAATTCGATTTTAAAATTATTTCATGGTCCCTTTAACCAGGATGTTTAACTAAGATAGGCTTAGAGCAGGGATGGGCAAAATACATGCAAATATGTATAGAAATACAAATACAAAATACTTCATCAAAAATGTATTTAGTTACAAATCTAATTACATTTCCAAAAAAAACAACAACATTTAAGTACAATATACAAATACAACCAAATGTATTTGGTCTCCTCCAAATACTTTTCCAAATACATTCCTTAAAGTTTGCCTCAGCGACTTCAGGAGACCTGCAACGGGTTTCTGGGTATCTCATTTTAATTTTGCATCGCACACTCGGGAGGTAGTGTGCGAGGCTCTAGTAACGTAATAGAAATATAATCACAAAAAAATGTAATCAGCTTGGACGTAATAAGTGAAAAAAGTAGAGAGCTTCAAGCTGTTTTTTTTTGTCGATTATATTTTGGCATCGACCAACAAAGAATCGAGACGACCAAGATGCGCAGCGCTATCTAGAGAATTTTTTATTGCTGCAACTCGCACCAGTTACGAAAATCTGGACGACCCGCGCATTTAGAATGTTTCAGGCAAAAAGATGGATGGTAATCAGGCTGGAAAGCATGGCAAGTTGCCACAGGCACTTATTTAGCCAGTCTGCCTGTGAACGTCGATTTCGTCACTATTCCTACCCTGGACTAGCACCGTCATCACGAAGTCACTAAACGCTTGTGCTTGATTGAGAGACACTGCATTCGGTGCAGAACGTAGTTTTCTTTTTGCTCTGGACCGTGACAATAAATTTGAGGGATGTATTTCGGCCACAAAATTGTATTTAATTACAATAGTATTTGAAATACCCACGTTTTAGTATTTAAATATACACGTCAAATACATTACCCAGTTTGTAATTAAATAAAAATGCAAAATACACGAAGCATTTGAAATACGTATTTCAAATACTTGTATTTGAAATACTGCCCATTCCTGGCTTAGAGTAATATTACATTACCAAGCTAACCATGCTCCTACGCCAAACATTTTAAGAACATGGTCACAAGTCGAAAAGGTTTGTCTGCAAGCATCAAAGGGTGGGGTGTGGGGTGCATATTTTCTTTGTTACTCTCTTTGGTCAAGGAAATCTACGTGATCAAACTTATCCGAGAATAATAGAAGAGTTAATTGTGAATGCATTATATATTTCAGCGGCCGCAACACGCACCAGCTTGAAGCTTTGGGAAATGCTTCATTGCACTGCTTCAAATTTTACAAAGCTATGAGCTTGTGCTTGCAGCTTTCGGTTCAATTCAGGCGGACGGTTACGACCATTACTTGCACATGAGTACATCCATTTTTCAAGAAGTGGTTTTGTGCCTTGAAACAGGGTGTATTTGAATTCACATTAAATTTCAACGTAATATAAGTAATATTTTTACACCTTGGAATAGGGTGTAGAGTGCTAATGGCACTTGTCTATAACGCGCGACTATGCGGCTTTCTCCCGGAAGCGCTAGAATTGCATTCGCGGAAACTAAGCTAGTCACGTGGCGCAACATGGAACGGTCCATTCAAGGGGCGTCCTGCCCACCCTATCAGCTGGCGGCGGACGTGTAAGGCTGCTTGCACGCTTATTACCAACAGCATTGCTCGAACAATAAACAAACTAAAACATGAAGGCGTATCAACGATGTTGTCATCAAAAAACAAAAATATATCATGAAGTACTTTACTTTTATCGCTTATCAATCTGATAGAGTGGGCAGGACACCCCTCGAGCGGGCCGTTCCATGTTGCGCCACGTGACTAGCTTAGTTTCCGCGAATGCCACCAGTCTAGCGCTCCCCGGAGAAAGCCGCAAGCTCGCGCGTTATAGACAAGTGTGATTAGCACTGTGCACCCGTGAGCGATATGAAGGTTAACAGCCCTCTTCTCGTTTTTGACGCTCCTGCAAGTTTTGGATCAAGCTCTGCTCCAGAAGAGTGCTAGAACGAAAGTTAGGCCCCCAAGCCACGTACCATTTGAGACGTTCCGAGTTAATATAGCTTTAGGGAGCCGTAAAATAGACAAGAAACCAGTTAAGGTGTTCACCTTCATATTGCCGGCGGGAGTACCTGTCCACCCAGTGAATGGCGAGGGTGTAACGTAGGAACATGTTTAGGGGTTAAAAGCGCTAAAAACGACGGACGAGTAGGAGAGACACACACCACAGAGCGTTTTTAGCGCTTTTAACCCCTAAACATGTTCAACCAACCATCCCAAATCCAAACCCTTCTGTAACGTAGGAAATATTTGTACACCTTGAAAAAACCCCCACGGTTGACGCCGCGTGGGAAGTCAACCTCCATCTGCTCGAGGTGCGCCCTGCCAGCTTGTACGCTGCAGCGGAGGCTCTTGCGATTATTTATTTATTTATTTATTTATTTATTTAAACACCTTAAGGACCCCATAGAAGGTATTACATAAGGGGTGACATGCAACAAACATCAACAAAGTAAGGGTACACTGTCACAAAAGCAAATTTGCATATAAAATAAAACAAATCAGGGGCCCATCCCTCTACTGAGGAGTGGGCCCCCTGACAGGGGTCTGCCCTTGGGAGGGGGGTGGGGGGGGGAGCAAAGCGAATATCACTACGGCGGCAGTTGTCGGGGCAGGGATGCCCTCGACCGTCGTCGACCCACTGGTGTCGCCCTTGAGTGACCCTTTGTGGAGTTGAGCTGGTGTCGCGTTCTGCAGAGTCCTCTCTCCCTGTCGGTCCTTCCTGGGCTGTATCTTGGTGTGGCCCAGTTTTCCTAAGTGCAGTTCCCAACTGATATCTTGGTGGAATTCCCACTTGACCCAAGGATCCAATTCAAATTATATTGAATTGGCTTTAAATCGGTTGTGCCCATTGAGGTGGTACAAACTGAGGCCATTTTTATTTTTCAATCTTTTTACAAGCCTCATGTTATCAAATCTGTACGGTGTACACGTTGAAATGAAGTGTATCTGTGCGCGCCGTAAATACTCAGGAAGTTGCGAGGGGAATATTAGTGCACCGTGAAGTAGTGTGCATATGTTTTCCCGATAAATTATAGGAGTGTAGAAAAGGTGATACTATTACACCCTGAAATGGGGCGTATGTGTATACCTACAGAATGGTGAGGGTGCACAAGTGCACTGTTAAACGAGGTGCAGAAGAGCGCCTTATTTTGGTGGTGTATACATATTCCAAAAGGGGCGTCGTATATTTGACGAGCCCTTACACTTTCTAGGAATGAACCCACTACACCTTCTTTTTAAAGTGCAGTGATGAGTGCTGGTGGAGACGTTATGATTGGTGGCGAAGCTGTAGGTGTTCTTTGAAATGCCCTTTGCGATATCAGGTCCAGGTCACCAATTGTAGGAAGGTACATTAATTCACTTTTAATACTATCTACCAAATTTCCAAATATTTCCGTGAGAAAGTTCAGTGATACTAACAAGCAAACTTTTACTGACCGGACTGTTGGTGCCACATCTCGTGATGCCTGCTTGACCTTGACGACCTACTGTGATTCTTTTCAATCTCCCTCTTTCGTCCAAATGAAAGCCAATCAATCCGGTCACCACATCAGTCAAGTGACCATAACATCCCTATTGAAGAAAACAGCAATGATATCAAGCTGGGCAAGCTGGTTTAGCTGGTTTTTAAGCTGGTTCGAGTTGGTTCGAGTTGGTTCGAGCTGGTTCGAGCTGGTCTAGGTAAAAATCAAGCTGGTTTAAGCTGTTGTCTGGAGGTGTAGAGACTAATCCGGGTCCTGTTACCTCAAGTGAAATCCTACGCGAATTGCAGAAGCTGTCTGCAGGTCAAACTAAACTCATCGAGGAGGTAAAGGGCCTAAAACGTCAGCTGCAGATAACCGATAGGACCATACCGGACCTAGGCAGGCGGATGACTGACCTGGAGGGTCATTACCAAGTCCTTTCCACGCCACGTGCTGAGGTGGAGGCCACGGTGACCAGGGCCGTCCACGCGGCTCGTCAGGTCTCTGACCTTGAGGACCGTGTGGGCGACACTGAAAATCGATCCCGACGAAAGAATCTAATATTTTATGGTGCGCCCGATCCCTCACCTGCAGAGACTTTTGCCCAGTCCGAACAAAGAATCATTCGCCTTTGCTCTGAACTTTTTGATGTAACATTAGACTCGAAAGAAATAGAACGTGCCCACCGCCTCGGGCGTCATTCGGTCGAGCGTCCACGACCAATAATAGTGAACTTCTCCTGTTTTAACAACGCACGGAAACACCTCCTTGCCTTTGCTAGAGGCAAATCTGCTCCCTTTTCTTTTCGCTACAAAACACTGCTCATCGGCTCAAAACGTTACGTTTTCGATGAATCATGCCAATCAGTCAAAGAAATCTCATAGCAATCGCACCGTCAGCGGAAAATTACAACACGCCCCCAACGTGCCCCTCGAACTAATCTTTCTTTTTCGGTGATCTTTACTAACATACGCAGCTTTCTTCCGAAGCGCGAACTCGTATCTGGCGTTGTATTATCTTCTGAATGCAATGTACTTGTGCTCACTGAAACTTGGCTAACCAGTGATGTTACTGACTCCGAAGTTTTAGCGTACCTGCCAAATTTCCGTCTCTTTCGTAATGATCGCAAAGGTACTCGCGGGGGAGGTGTTCTCATTGCCGTAAACCATCAAATACCATGCACTACTATTAACACTTCATCCGATCTGGAAATACTCTGGCTCATCTGTCATGCCGCTCCTGAAACAGTGCTGTTGGGTGTCTGTTACAGGCCGCCGCATAATAGTCCCGATTTTCCGGGGCAGCTTAACGATATGCTGTTCCACCTCAATGCAAAACATCCCAATGCCCACATACTTCTTTTTGGCGACTTTAATTACCCATATGTCGATTGGGCTAACCTGGCGCCTACAACAACGAGCAACGCAGAAACGAGAAAATTTATCGATGTTTGCCTCAATTTTAACCTGTCCCAAATATTAACTGAGCCAACACGTGTCACGCAAGAGACTGCAAGTCTCTTGGACCTGATATTAACCAACCGTCCTGACAGTATGTCGTCAATTACTTACCTACGGGAAATTAGTGACCATAAGGTCATTCACGCTGATTTTATGTTTTATCAAAGTCGATCCATCCATGTTTATTTTATCAAAGTCGATCCATCCATGAAAATTGGGTACTACTCAAGAACAAGTTTAACGAATTAATAAATACATTTATTCCTAAAATCAGTTTTCGCGTAAGCCGACAGAAGCCATGGTTCACTAAAACCCTTAAGAGGCTGGAAAATAAAAAAAGTGAAAGCCGCTTACAACTCCCTGTAACGCCGAATTAGAGCGCAGCTCTTGAGGAGGAGGAGGGAAGGGCGCTGGGGGGGGTTAGACTAACCAGGGGGGGTCACGTGACCTTGGGGGGTCACGTGACCTTGGGGGTCACGTGACCCCCAATGCCGATGATGTCATCCCTGACGTAACTGATGATGTCATCAGTGACGATGACGATGCGGGTACCGATGACGTCACTAGTGACGTCACTGATGACTTCACCAGTGATGATGACGATGACGATGCGAATGCCGGTGACGTCATCAGTGACGTCGCTGACGACGTCATCAGTGATGATGACGATGACGATGCGGATGCCGGTGACGACATCAGTGACGTCACTGATGACGTCATCAGTGATGATGACGATGACGATGCGGATGTCGGTAACGTCACCGGCATCCACATCGTCATCGTCATCATCACTGATGACGTCACCGGCATCCACATCGTCATCGTCATCATCACTGATGACGTCACCGGCATCCGCATCGTCATCGTCATCATCACTGATGACGTCATCACTGATGACGTCACCGGCATCCACATCGTCATCGTCATCATCACTGATGACGTCACCGGCATCCACATCGTCATCGTCACTGATGACGTCATCATCATTGATGTCATTATCACTGATGACGTCACCGGCATCCACATCGTCATCATCACTGATGACGTCACCGGCATCCACATCGTCATCGTCATCATCACTGATGACGTCACCGGCATCCACATCGTCATCATCACTGATGACGTCACCGGCATCCGCATCGTCATCGTCATCATCAGTGATGATGACGATGACGATGTGGATGCCGGTGACGTCATCAGTGTCGATGACGTCATCGGGGGGTCACGCGACATCGGCGGGGGTCACGTGACCTCGGGGGTCACATGACCTCGGGGGTCACGTGACCTCAGGGGAGTCACGTGAGCTCGGGGGGTCACGTGCCCCCCACGAAGTCACGTGACCCCGGTGGGGGGCTCGCGCGGTGCATTATGGGACATTTCCCATGATGCACCGCGCGGTTACGCCGACGCCGACGCCGACGCCGACGCCGCTCAAGCCGGAAACGGGCCCCTAAGAGCTGCGCTCTAAAAAAAGCGTCTTTTTCGCTCTGCGAAGTCAACACCAAACCCATGCGCGTGGGAAAGGTGCTACGAGGCCGAAGCAACATATTTAAACGCGATCATTGAAGCCAAGCGCTCATTTTTCCTTATTGACTTACCAAACATATTAATCAATAACCCAAGAAAGTTCTGGCAGGTCATAAACCCTCAGCAGACTTCCGGTTTAACTCTTGCCGATGAATCGGGGAATGTGCTTAGCGATAGTGAGTGCGCTAACATGTTTAATATCCCGTTCTCATCAGTCTTTACTCAAGAGCCCGACGCACCACTCCCACCCGTAATCGTAACTATTGAATCGGAAATGCACCCCATCTCATTTTCCACTGTCGGTATTTCGTCTATTATTGATAACATCAAGTTGTCATCATCAGCGGGCGTCGACGAAATCACCTCGAAATTTTTGAAGAATTGTAACCATGTATGTTCATCATTTTTCTCACTTATGTTCTCGCTGTCACTTTTCACAGGCGGCACTCCAGATGACTGGAAGACGGGGAAGGTCGTTCCCGTTTTAAAATCAGGCAACAAGGACTCTCCATTAAATTATCGACCCATTTCCTTAACAAGCGTACCCTGCAAAATCATGGAACACGTCATTTATACCCGCGTTATGAACTTCCTGGACTCTAGCCAATTCTTTCACTCTTCTCAGCACGGGTTTCGCAGGAACTTCTGCGAAACTCAACTAGCTCTCTTTCTCCACGACTTGCATACCTATCTCGACTCTAACTGCCAAACTGACGCTATCTTCCTGGAATTCGCAAAAGCCTTTGACAAAGTACCTCATAGACGCTTGCTACTAAAACTTTCTCGGCTAGGATTAGACCCTGACGTCTTGAATTGGATACCGAAATTTTTGACTAATCGCTTTCGGTCCGTCCTCGTTAATAACCAGTCCTCCAACTGCCTACCAGTATCATCAGGTGACCCCAGGGCTCCGTCTTGGGCCCACTGCTATTCCTCATATATATTAACGATTTACCCTTACACGTTACCCGCCAAATCCGTATGTTTGCCGATGACTGCGTTGTTTACCAACCAGTTACCATCCAGGAATGGTGCGACCACTGGCTCATGTCAGTTAATCCTAATAAATGCAAACTCATGTCCTTTCATCGCCGAACCAACCCTTTTCTTTTCCCCTATTCAATTGCTAACACTCCCGTCGAACTAGTACAGTTCTATAAATATCTTGGTGTCACCTTAGGTAGCGACCTATCATGGCGCGCACATGTCACTAACATTATCTCATCAGCAAATAAAAGTTTAGGATTTCTAAAACGCCATCTACGTACCGCTCCTCAAAGCTTAAAACTGCTAGCATACAAATCACTCGTAAGGTCAAAGCTGGAATACGCATCCGCCTTCTGGAGCCCGCACCGAGCCTATCTCAGTTATGCACTCGAACAGGTTCAGAACCGCGCCACCAGATTCATCCACTCATCTTACTCGTACAAAGTTAGTATCTCATCCTTAAAAGCTGAATCGAGCCTTTTAGACCTCACCTCTCGTCGCCAAACTGCTAGCTTATGTCTATTTCACAAGTTTTTCTATTCCCCGCTCCATAACGCGCCCTACATTCTACTCCACGCCCGCATCTCTCTCCGAACAGGTCACCCATTGCAGGTCACCCGTCACCGCACTCGAACTGCCACTTTTTTCAATTCCTTCTTCCCCCGTACTGCAACAGACTGGAACGGCCTTCCCGGCGATGTTGCTACGATCACCTGCCCATTAAGGTTTGCTGAAGCTGTGTCAACCATCAATCCAGCGTAACAACCTATTGTTCAAGTTATTGTTTTTTTTTATATTCTCCCACCCCTTATGTAATACCCCTCCCGAAGGGGTCTTTAAGGAAATAAAGTGAAGTGAAGTGAAGTTCAAGCTGGTTCAAGCTGGTTCAAGCTGGTTCGAGCTGGCACTGCAGTTCGGCAAGCTGGTTCGAGCTGATTTCCTAAGCTGGTTCACGCTTGGCAAGCTGGTTCAAGCTGGTTCGAGCTGGCACTGCAGATGGGCAAGCTGGTACTTCAGCTGGTTCAGGCTGGTTCTGAATCTGGCCTAAGGTGGTTCAAGCTGGTCTTGCTGGGAGCGCCCACGCCAAGGTCAGCGAGAGCTTGTCGAACTGGCATTGGCGGGAGCGCGCGCGCCAAGGCCGACTGGGGTGGGGACGATGCCACGTCCTGTTCTTTGTCCTCTCGTTTTTTGTAGACGACCGGGCGCTTCAGGCACGCTGTGAGCTTCCTTTGTGTGCGAGAAACGAAAGAGAGTGAGTGGTTGGAACGGAGGATTTGAGACACGTTTGGCTATCTTGGGCACATTTTCGAAAGGACGGCTGTGTGCGCGTTGTTTGGTGACTACTTGAACGGCGGTGCAAGCGAAGCGGGATTTAAGGAGACAGCGAGCGGCAGTCCGTTCAGCGCGGGAAGAAGTCGGATGCCCCGACTGAAGCGTCGTTTCGTGTCTTCTAACGTTTTTGCGCTCGTGAATGACGGTGGTGCCGAGGAGTATCGCCAATGCCATCCAAGCCACATGGATTTCCTCGCGTCTGCCGACTACGCAAGAGGACGCTTCTCCCCCATTATGGGCAGGACCCAGGTTCGCTTCTCTCATCCGTGTAGTATTTTTTATTGTTATTGCTTGTTTTTGGCGTGTGTCTTGTATTTTTCGTGTTGAGAGATAAGCAATCTAGTTTTAATAGCATTGTTTGTTTTGCACCGAGAACTACTTACTATCTTTGCGCCGGTTAGTACTGTGTCAGCGCAGTGGATGTGTAGCATCTGAGCTCATGTGAGCAGACCGCGAATACGAATATAATAAATTAGATGCCGAGCTGGCTTTTCTGAAGCCTTTGGCTTGTTTATCCTGTGTGTTCATTTAAACTGGTTAAAATGGTGGGGAAGTACACCAGCCTAACCAGCATGGGC